TAGGTTATTGTTGTCTCGATCGGCCCCACTTTGTAATTTTTACCAAATATTTCATGGCACCACAAGGAAACACCAGATTACCATATCCAGTAGCCTAATCCTGTGTATTTTGCATGGCGAATCTTGGCCAACCTAACCTACTAGGAGTCACCATAGACGACAGGTCCCAAATCCCAAAAAATGAAGATTCAATAGGCATTTTTGGGTAGAAGTTTGGATCCATTTGATTTAGGATATTTTGACCCTGCTGATTACGAATCTGGTGGATCCCAAGCGAAATTTTTCATCTACTGTAAGTGCTAAAATGGGCCGCTTTTAAGCCAAAACATTATGTTTTTTTTTAAAAGACAAACACGCTGTGTTTCGGTTACCGTTACAAAAACATAGAGACTTCATTTTGGTACCAAAGTGTTCGGAAGACTCATGTTTCTATTTGTTATAATTTCCTCCACAAAATACTAGGAAAAAAGTTAATAACAAAAAAAACCTGTTTTTAGCCAACAAACTTTTTTTTCCCTTTTTTTTTGTAATTGTTTTGGTTTCGAAGCCATCGAATGTTTCCACTTTTCCAATGGTTGCAAATGATAGCTAAAGTGGCAATAATGAAAAAAAAAATGTTTTTATTGTAATAATTTATGCATAAATATATAATTGAATTAAGTTTTAAAAAAGTCGGGTTTGGTAAAATTTTGAAAAAAATCTCCTCTGTCTCACACTCTCAGGCTTAATGACCAAAATATCACCCATAAAAATATATAGGCCTATGTATAATTTCTAGCTCTCTCGCTAAATACTCATCCTCTAATGTACTTAAAGTAGGATTGGTTTTGTTATTATACATTGTTGGGTCGGCTTTCTATTTTCGATTGTGGACGGCAGAAATGTGCATTCTCAAGAAAAAATGTGTGATTCCTAACAGATTTTCAGTTGTAAATATAACACTAAAGTAGCAAAGAACGCATTTTCGGGTGTCTAGGAAAAACATTTGGTGGGGGGGGGGGAGCCCGGACACAACCCTTTTTAGGGGAGATGATCAGGTTTTAGAACAAAAGTCTCACACCTCCAAATTAATCGAACTTGACATGTATGCAATATCCCAGTGTCCAATAGTTACCGGTATAGCGCTAATTTCATGGAGCAACTAGGTAACATTGTTTGAATCAAGATTTCTATACATTTTCTTTTAAACTTCTTCATTAGAGGGAATAACATATAGGCCTACCTCCTAGCTACTTTCATACAAAAATCAGTAAGTTGTCAAATTGTCAGACAAAGAGAACTTGGATGACTCGCATAAATTCTTCCATTAAACAAAGCTTCTCAATACTTTAGATTTAAATAAAAGATTTTGTTTTGGTTTTCCTGGTGTTTTGTGGGAGACATTTCATTATAGCGAATAAAAACACGAGTTTTAAGTTGGTACCACAATGGCTAAACAGAAATACAGAGTTTTAGTCCTTTTTTTTCCAAAATGGATGCTTTTGCATAAAAGTGGCCATTTTGACACTGAGATGAAATAATTTCTCTTGGAATCCATCAAATCGTAATCAGCAAGGTCAAAATACCTAAAATCAAAGCTGAACTTTAGAGGACTGATTTTTGAGAATGGAACATGTGGAACCTGTCCATGGAGTGCGCACTCTGGAGTTTCCAATGAGTCAGATCATCATGCCATGGTATGTAAAAACACAAGAAAAGAGTGCTTGTTGTGACCCACGTTTTCTGGATGGGTGTACGGTTTTGCGACTAGGTTACCTAGGCTGGGATAGGTCTAGGCCTATTGATGGAAACAGTAATGGAAAAAAATTATGATAGGTGAAATCAACAATTGTATCTTTTGTTTTGTAACATCAAACATATATTTATAACTTCGCTTCCTAGGCTTAGGCCTAGGTTAGGCCTAGCCTAGCTAGGCTACTAGTACTAGGCCTAGGCCTAGTATGTTCTTGCCTAGCCCACTGTACTGATTTCTAGGCCACCTATAATATTATAGTATAGATCAGTGGTTCTTAGCCAGGTGGCCTATAGTAGGCCTAGAGTAGTAGTAGTATACACTGTAGCAGGTCCGGTGGCGGTGCCAGCGGGAGGTGCGAGGGGGCATTAGATTAGATTTTTCTTAAAAATTGAAACTTTGCCGGAATGGGGCTTTAAGCCCCATCGACCAAAAACTCGTCGGGCAGTCAGACCAAAAAAAAGAAAGGCCTATAGGTCTAGCCTTATATAGCCTAGGACTAGTTTTACCATCTCAGTCATTTCTGGCCATCTAAAAGTCCCGGTTTAAAAAAAAAAAGTCTCATTTTGGGAGGAGGGGACACCACCTCCCATACCCACCCCTCCCTGGTTCTGGCCTTTGACCCTCAGATAACACTGCGCGCTATTAGTTACACCCATATAAATACTTAGCGCGCCCCCCCCCCCCCC